AACAGAAGATTCTCCAAGGGTCAGGGGATCATCTCCTGTCATTAGACCCATCGATGAACCATCAACCTGTCATTCTGGATCATTAGCAGATAATGACAAAAGGATGGTCTGGCAGGCAGGCATTGTAGCTGCAAGCAAGGCGGCCTTGCTCATATGTTTCCCTAGGTGTGATTGCCTACTGAATTGAAAAGCTGAACAGTTTTGCTTCTAAGGGGAGCTTGACGACAAAAGCAACCAAACGAATGAGTTCCAACTGCTATGTGCTAAGGGTGTCTGCACATTAATTTTTCTTAGGACTGAATGAAAATGTAGTTTGAATGTAAATTCTCTGACCAGTTTGTGCATTTTTCTTTCTTTTCTCGGGTGTTCCTAAACTGTGGGAGATTATCAGTCCTCCTCGTTATCAGTCCAGGTTCACCTTAGGTGCATTGTGGGTGCCAGTGTGACCACACTTCCAATGTAATTGCAATTAAGCAAGCAAATGCTTTTGTGTCCTATTTCCCATATGCAGAAACCAGAAGGCAAAACATTTTAGCTTGGCCCACAAAACAGCAAGATGTGCCCTGTCAGTGTCCATGAAATGTTTTGCTTTATGACAAAGATGTTTGCATAAATTAGACAAATTGTGTGAATTTTCCATCTCTAAACTATGAGAACAGGACATGGTGGTGCTGCGGGTTAAACCGCAGAAGCCTCTGTGCTGCAAGCTCAGAAGACCAGCCGTCGTAAGATCGAATCCACGCAATGGAGTGAGCTCCTGTCGCTTGTCCCAGCTCCTGCCAACCTAGCCATTCGAAAGCATGTAAAAATGCGAGTCGATAAACAGGTATCATCTCGGTGGGAAGGTAACAGTGTTCCATGTCTACTCGTGCTGGCCACATGAGCATGGAAAACTGTCTAAACGCTGGCTCTATGACTTGGAAACGGGGATGAGCACCGGCCCGTAGAGTTGGACATGACTGGACTAAATATAAAGGGGAACCTTTTCCTTACCTAAACTATGAGAAGTGGGATGGATAGCTCAGTGGCTTAGATATCTGGTGGTTGTGTAGACTTCAAAATGTTAGAATCACTGGAGGAGATATTTGTGTCATTTCCCTTCCTCTCTCCCTCCCTCTCCCTCCGTCTCTCTCTCTCTCTCTTTCTCTCTCTCTCTCTCTCTGTTTATAAACATGCTTTTCTTCAGAAAGGAAAAGGGCACTGATTTTGTGCAGAGACGTTTTGTCTAAATTGTGGAAACATTGACCAAAACCCCATCACTTGTCCCATTCTCATGCTGGAGGCAATACACTTCATTTGCTTTAATGAATTTTTGACAGGCTGTTGACACATCGGAAGAACATCTCCCACAGAAAATGATTAATTGAATGAGATTACATCACAGTACTCTTCATTTGGTATCTGCACATCCCATATTTCCTCCAATTAGCTCATCTCACTGTACGGAATTCTTTTCCTCCTCTCTGTATTTTCGCAGACGTTCTGGTGAGGGAGGTCAAACAAAGAGAAGCCTGTTGGCTCAGTGTCATCCAGCAAGTTCCATGGCTCAGTGGAAATCAGAACGTGCATCTCCACAAAGCCTCTAAAGTGCATGGTCTTACTCTAAACATTATTTTAATACTGCTGAGGGAAATACTGATCTTGTCTGAAGTAATTATTAAGTCATTGCATGGTTAAACTATGGTGACATGGTTTTAATGGAGCCGTTGACTTCTGGTCTGATCCATCAAGGATTTTCATACTTTCTTGTGTTAATCAGAACCTGTGGCATTGCACTGGGCCCTACAGTAGGGCATCTAAATGGTTTCAAGCCACCCTAGCTAAGCCATTCTTCTTGTGGTTTTGATTCTTCTCCTTCTCCCTATTGTCTGCTGCTATTGTTGGGAGGACGGAGTACTTGGGTTGTACTTTTCAAAAAAGCACAAATATTCTCTGCTTTGAAGGATGGGTATATCTTTTATTCTTTCTTTGAAGTTGCTGGAAGTTCGGCAAAAGCCAGTTATTAAAGAACTCATTTATTACAGTGAAGATAGCAAAGTGATTGTATCTTTTGAAGCATTTTACTTCTCTCTCATTTTTTTTTCAACTTTCCCTTTTTCATTTAAGTTAAACTTGGATTATCAAAGGAATTCAGGCATACAGAGAATGTCTGGCTCTCTTTTTTGTCTCTTGCAAACTCTTGGAAAGGTACTTATCGCTGGCAAAATGCAACGTGGCACTCTAATTTGGGAGAGCATCCATTCTTGCTTTGAACATTCTTAAACCCTTTGCCAAAGTAACCCCTCTGTGTGCTTCAGCATTTAATTAAAATTAATGAAACACTATAAGTCTAGTTCTTAGGAATGAAAAATGATTATAAAAGAAAATGAATATGCATTTCTCACAGCATCGCCTTTTGTCTTTGAAAGAATTGTTCATACTGTTAAATATCTCTACACTAAGGCTGAGCTGGAATGACCCTCCCCATTTCACCACTCAAGGTTGGAGATGAACTGGTTATTTCAGCTGAGTGGTATTTACCCCAAACAGTTAGTGACTTGTACTTAAATTTTACTATTTTGTTTCATTCCAGGTTAAAATACAGTGGTACCTTAACTTGAGAAGGTCCCTACATAAAAACAATTCGAGTTAAGAACGGTTCTGCTTGCAAAAAGTTGCTTCGACTTGAGAACGGAGGCTCGGCTCACAAAAAGTTGCTTCAACTTGAGAACGGAGCCTCGACTTAAGAACAAAAAGAAAAAAAACTTTCTTGCCCTTTTTTTGACCTAAGCTCACCTTAGGTCAAAAGAAGAAAAAAAATTAAAAATTTGCCCCCTAGTGGTAGATACGGATTAACTGGCTTTGCATTAGTTTCTATGGGAACTAATGCTTTGACTTAAGAACAGCGCCTCGACTTAAGAACGAAAGACAGCGGATATGGATTAAATGGTTTTCAATGCATTCCTATGGGAAATGGTGCTTCGACTTAATAACTTTTCAACTTAAGAATGCAGTCCCAATACGGATTAAGTTCTTAAGTCAAGGTACCACTGTAGTGTACTTAGCATCAACTTCTCCCCCACTCATGTCAAACTAGATTATATGTTTGGCATGTATTTAGAAGATGTACTCTCTTAATTTGTGAAAGACATCTGTTTGTCACAAAATATATGATATCTCTCAGCTCTGTAACTTGCATTTGGACATTTATGATTGGTCATTGGAAAGAAAGCACAAGCTTAATCTGCAAGTATGATCACTGGCATACTCATCTCTGAGGAAATCCTCTTGCCAGAGGGGAAATTAAGCAGGTTGGTCAGAGGGAATACTCATTTCCCTCAATTTCTAGTGATAAGTAACCCTCTGTTACACAGCAAGAGAAAGAGAAAGATCCTTGGCACAGCAGTTATCCAGCCACCTGCTATTTGTCCACCCTTCCCAGAATGCACAGGAATGACATTCTTTTTCTGTCAACGTATGGCTGTAATCCCTGGAGGAGAATAGCGAGGGCAAACTGCTGAGCAACAGCTTTTTCTTTAGTCTCTTCAAACCTATAACTTCCTCTTTGGAGACCAAGTTAGATTCCGAGCATCTTGTGAAGGCAAAAGTATTGCTACTGATTTGAGGGAAGTCTTATAATCAAGAGAAACAGATTTGTGAGATCTGAGGTGTTTGGCACCCAACTCTAAACCATGTGGACATATTAAACACTTCTGGCTGATTTCAATAGGAAAAACCTGAGAACATGCTTAACTCCTCTACTGAAATCGAAGGAGCTTCCAAAGATGTTCAGCACTGGCTGGAGGGTGTCTCAAATTTGCTTGGAGACAGAAGGGACTGAAGAGTAGAATTTATTTCCAGGCGGCAAGTGTGCTTAAAACAGCAGTATTAATTGCAGTAATTTTTCTTCAAAAGTGTGGTTTCAATCTCATTATGTTTGCATTGTGTTTTTTTAATGTATGCTAAATATTTAGGATGAGACAAATCAAACATGTAAATATACATCAGTAACTTTCTTTGTTCATCTCAGAAACTTGATGGTACAATTAATGTATATTAGTAATGCGTATTGTGTCCAGTATTGTGTCCAGTTCTGGGCACCTCAATTCAAGAAGGATGTTGACAACCTGGAACGTGTCCAGAGGAAGGCGACCAAAATGGTCAATGGTCTGGAAGCTCCTACAAGGAGCGGCTTAGGGAGCTGGGAATGTTTAGCCGTACAAAAAGGTTAAGAGGGGACATGATAGCCATGTTTAAATATCTGAAGGGATGTCATGTCAAGGAAGGGACAGGTTTTTTTTCCCATGGCTCCAGACACTAGGACAAGGAGCAATGGTTTCAAACTACAGGAAAAGAGATTCCACCTGAATCTCAGGAAGAACTTCCTGACAGTCAGAGCTGGTCGGCAGCAGAATAGACTGCCTCGGAGTGTGGTGGAGTCCCCTTCTTCGGAGGTTTTTAAGCAGAGGCTGGATAGCCATCTGTCAGGAATGCTTTGATGGAGTTCCTGCATGGCAGGGGGTTGGATTCGATGGCCCCTGTGTTCTCTTCCAACTCTGTGATTCTATGATTCTATGATCAGGTATTTTTCACCAAATAATGGGCAACTAACTTCAAGTCTTCCATTGTACATATTTGGGGGCATATTGTACTCTGACATAAATGTGAAGTTATCTGTTCTTCTCTGCACTTTCAAAGGACCGCATTGGTGCAAACTCCCCATTTTCTTAGGTTCACTTTGGTTCTGCTGACTCCAGTTGATAGCCTATTAACTGATTTCGAAGTAACCCAGTTCTCCGTGTGTCTGGGTCTAGACTTTCATGGGTTCTGCCCATTTTAAGAGTTGGGTAGCCCTTTCTTTGTTCTCATCCTGACATTCTCTGTTGTTCCTTCAAGATTCACAAGGTGCATTGATAAGATAATCATTTATTTCAACCTGTCTGCATTCGAAATGCGTTTCTGCCTCCTCTTCTGCACAACCCAAATACTAGTGGTGTTCTAATCTGCCATTTCTATTTCAGCACCCAGCCTTCCCAAGGCTCAGGTTAAGACAGCATCCCTTGGACTGGCTGGAAAAGCGAGATCCCCTTTGCTTCCCGTCTCAGTGCCGACAGCCCCAGAAGCCTCAGAAGAGGGTCACAAACAAACAGAGGATACTGCAAATGTAAGTACACGTCAAGGATGCTCATCCAAAGACACGCATTTGAGGACCTGGCCTCTCTGTTCTCTTGCTACTTGGAGTCACTGGACACATTCAAGAGAAAATTGGATAAGCATTTGTCAGATCTGCTTTGATTTGGATTCCTGCATTGAGCAGGGAGTTGAGCTCGAAGGTCTGGTAGGCCCCTTCCAACTCCATTTATCTATGATGCTACAACAAATAAAATAGCCAAAAGCAGTCATTACTGGCTACTACTAAGAACAGAGACCCTGTTTTGCTGTCTCACCTTCCTCTTTGTCTTCTCCTCTTCCAGTTATAATGATCTCGCCAACATCTGTAGTGATGTGGTTGCAAAAGCTTCCCCCAGCTTATCTAAAGTTCTTCCACATTCCTATTTTTTTTAAAAAAATTCATTCTTTGGGATTATTTGTATAGATTTGCAGATCTGATGGTTGTCCATTTTTTTCCTGAATGCCTCCATCATAAACTATGTGAAGCAGTTGTAATAATAAGGCATTACCAGAGGTAATAAAAGTTACTTTTCTCAACAACAATTTCCAAAATCCTTAGGTGATTAGAGGACTTGTGGTCCAAAAAAGTAAGTTTTCCAGCTCTGGCCTATACATAGTGATGCTCTGGACATTACAGTGGTACCTCAATTTACGAACTTCCCTTAGGGGATTAGAGGAGTTGTGGTCCAAAAAAGTAAATTTTCCAGCTCTGGCCTATACACAGTGATGCTCTGGACATTACCTCAATTTACAAACTTCATCCGTATTGGAACGGCATTCGTACAACAAAAAGTTCGTAAGTTGAGGCAAGAGTTCCCATAGGAACGCATTGAAAATCATTTAATCCATTCAGGCTGTTTTTCATTCGTATGTAGAGGCGCCGTTCTTAAGTCAAATCATTAATTCTCATAGGAACTAATGCAAAGCCGGTTAATCTGTCCTCTACCACTAGGGGGAGAATTTCTTTTTATTTTTTTCTTCTTTTGACCTAAAATGAATTTAGGTCAAAAAAAAAAAAAGGCAGGAAAGTTGTTTTTTTTTTCATTCGCAAGTCAAAGCAACACTTCGTGAACGGAGCCATTTGTAACTCGAAACGTTCGCAAGTGGAGACGTTCGTAAGTCGAGGTACCACTGTATAGAACTCCTGGAAAGGGAATGCATTAACATTATTCTAAGAATGTTTGTAATTGTTAAGGATGTTTTTGGATGAAGGTGTAACTGTGGAGTGAATTAGAACTTTTTGTGCAGTCTGACTTATTAATTTATCCATTCATTCATGCAACTTGCATACCACCCAATAGAGTGATAGACATGGTATATGGGACCAGGGCAGCCATGGGATGGAGCCAGGACAGAGGACCTATCCTGTTCAGTCTGGTGTTTGGGGGCTCAAAACATAAGAAAAAAGGCACGCTGCACGAGTAAAGGGAAATTGAAACAAATAATATGCAATCTCAAGAAGACCAAACTGGCACCAGAGGAGAAGGAAATACAGTAGACAGCTGAACCTCCAAGTAAAGCCGAGAACTCTCCTGGGCACACCAGCCCCTGAGTTATGGAGGAGAGTCTCTGAGGGAGGTCATCATGTTGCAACAATTGCTCTTTGCATTTGATCGGTTTGGTTCAGCTTGGCTTGGTTGACTTTTTTAAGCTGCACAGCAAACGGAGCAACCTTCTTCTTCGACGTATATTGGACAAGCTTTCATCTTTTCTGATCCTTTTTAAAAAAAATTAGTTAGCTCTTTTAATACGCTAGGTGTCCGTGCGTGAGAGTGGCTGAATCGCTGCGTTCCTATGGTTATGTCAGAACTTTACTTTCAGACCTTAGAACATACCTCCTGTCACCACCACGTGGCTTCTCTTATCTTGTTGCTGCGGTGGTGTGCCTGCTAAAGTTCATAATACTTTGCCTCCTGCTTCTCTTTTTCGTCTCTTTTCTGAGCTGTAGTTGGGTATATAATTCTACTGGAACTAATTCTGATGGCACTGTATAATCCAATCATGAATCATAGTTATTTGCATTTCCCTGTTCATGGGGACGAGGATTTTCAAGGAGATTCAGAAACACACAAATACTGACTGGCACAGACACAGACAGGGATCAGGCTGGTGTATCTCCAAAAGGGCCCAGGTCAAGAAGGGGGATGATCTGTGTGCCCTTATTTGGGCGAGGACTAGATCAGACCCTGGTCTCATGTTCAGTAGGTGCTGACCCAACACTGAGTTCATTTGTCTCTAGTTAACATTCCCTGAAAACGTGTGAAGTAGAGACATAGGCACTGAGGAAATCGTATTGTCCATCAAGTCCAACCTCATTCAGTGCAGGTTCTGTAATGCTGGAGACAATGTCCTTGATCCCACCTTGGGAAGTGTCAAGATGTCCTTTCCCTGCAACCGGTATGAAGTAGAGCAGAGATACAGGGATTCAAGACGTCGGAGTGTCGAGTCATGTATTTTGTTTTGCCGCATGTGAGTTGAGAAGACAATTAGGCCCAAGCTGGGCATTGGCTCATTGAAAATTCACCAACTGTGCAGATGGCCCCGGCTTGAGAAGAACTAATCATATGAGCTCCGCACCTTCCTGGGAGCTGTTTGGTGGAATGAAACTCTCCATGCAGTTCAGGCCATCCATCTGAGAGAGCAGCTTAGACAATCTCTGCACCAAAGCATGGAGATGTTACCTTTGGGGGCGGGGGAGGGAGAAGTATAATTCCTAGAATCCCTAGTAAGGCTTCTTGGAATTATAGTTTTAAAAAAAGAATTTATTCTACTGTCTCCATGTGCAATAGTGATGGGCAATGACTGAGAATTCAGAAGTTACACCCTCTGCTATGTCTACCTACCTCCAACGTCCTGTAGGCTACATGTACCTCTTTTGAGTATACCAAGAAGCAACCAGAAGGTTAAAAAAGTGTGTTGCTTATATACTGCCCTGTAGTACTTAAAGGACTCTCAGGTTGTTTACAATTAAATTATGTAGGCTACACATTGCCCTCCCCCAGCAATCTGGGTACTCAATTTACCAACCTCTGAAGGATGGAAGGCTGAATGAACCTCAAACCAGCTACCCAGGATTGAACCCTGGTCATGAGCAGAGTTTTGGCTGCAGTACTGCAGTTTAAACACTGCATCACGATGCTACACTGGTAGCCTTAGGCCAGTCATTGTCATTCAAGCTAACTGATTAGGAGAGCACATAGGCTGCCCTGAACTAATTGATAAAAAGGAGGTGGGATAAATTTAACTTCAAAGTTTTGAGGGGGTGAGGGGAAAAAAACAAGCTGTCAGGGAGGGAGCTGGTTGCACAAAAAGTCAGAGTCGACCTCCTGTAGCCAATGGGCTAAGCCAGTGGTCTCCAGCTTTGGGCCTCCAGATGTTCTTGGACTTCAACTCCCAGAAATTCTGGCCAGCAGAGGTGGTGGTGAAGGCTTCTGGGAGTTGTAGTCCAAGAACATCTGAAGGCCCAAGTTTGGAGACCACTGGGCTAAGCAGTTCCTACCCCAGTATAGAGTATGTCTGCAGTGAAACACTTCCAGCTGCTTCCATGAGGAAACTTGTCTATCTGTCCTTCTTCCCCCATAAAAAGAGGAAGGTTTCCAGAGCTCAGCTCTTGTTTTGGTTGCGGTCTTTTGCTGTTTTACTTTCCTTTCTGCTCCACATCAGAATATTTGCTCCAGAAATTTAACAGGAGCAGGATGATTTAAGAGCCTGGTGCCCTCAAATTGCTGTGGTGGTGACACAAATGGAAATTGAAAGGATTGGGGAGCACAAAAGGCAGTTCAGAGGTGGGCAAAAGCCCATCCTCGGCAGCCCTTGAGTTATTTCAGACCCCTCTTCTTTGCCTCTGGATGGTTTCCAACCCTCAATGGAAACACTGTAAGAAAAAGGAAAGGCGGGCCAGCATCTTGAAAGAGGGGAGTGACAGAAGAAATTAAAACAACAAATTTGGTTGCAATGACTGTTATAAGGAGTCATTGAGTACAGAGCCTTTCAGCCCCAAATACCTTATTTTGTAACAACTGGAAAAATTATTTGGGTCACTCTTCCAGCTCAGCAGGAATGGGAGCCCTTACAGGAAATAATGGATGAGGACTCAAAGGGACACATAGGGGGGTGAAGGATCAGGGCCCCCTCAGTACTACTCCACTTCTACAGAGACCCTAAAGGCACTGAATTCTGAATGCTCAAGATTACGCCCTATTTTTCCTCAAACAATATGTTATTAATTCACATAAATAAACATTTATCATTTACAGAATGTGCTCCCCTCCAGTTGCCACTTGTGATGTTACAGATTTAATATCATCATTGAACATCATTGAAAGGATGCTTTTAAAGCTGAGGCAACCAGCTAGGTCTGGGAGACGTCTGAGCATCTGCTAGGAGTTGAGTCTAGCAAAATTTGCCTATAAAGAGCACGACAATGATCAGTTTTCACACCCTGTTTCTTCTCTCTTAAGGGCCTCCACTGAAATTGCCCTGCCCATGGACCTCTACATCTCAGAAGCAACTGGCACTAAAGAAGATACAGTAATGAGAACCTTATAGTGGATTTTCCAAAATCAGTGTTAGCGCAAAAGTGAAATTCCAAGCAATGAGGCTTACTCCCTAGTGCGCTTAGATCTCCAAAGGGAGATCATCTTACCCCAGTTTTGAGGACATCCCAAAATTGGATAGCTCTCTCCCTAGCAGGGAGACATGGTGGCGCTGCGGGCTAAACCGCAGAAGCCTGTGCTGCAGTGTCAGAAGACCAAGCAGTCGTAAGATCGAATCCACGCGACAGAGTGAGCTCCTGTCGCTTGGCCCAGCTTCCGCCAACCTAGCAGTTCGAAAGCATGCAAATGCAAGTAGATAAATAGGGACCACCTTCCTTCCAACCCTTGTGTGCCCTGATTCTGTTACATCACAAGGACCCACAATTTAGCCCTGGGCTTTGACCCTGGAATCTCAGGGAATGGGCTACTCTTCACCTGGCAACCCAGCTTACCTTATTGTAATGTTGGCACCTGGTTAAGACCAACTCAGTGCCATTGTGGTTTTCATAGCTGTGCTGCAGATTGATAGTCATTAATTTGTTTTAAAGAGGTGTGTTTGTGTGTTGTGTGGGTGGAGAGAGTGAGAGAGAAGCAAGCAGGCAGGCTTATATAATCGGGCTTCTCACACATGCTGTGACAGTGTGATTGTGAGTGGGTTTGTACAATGATTTGATGCTGTTCCTGCCTACACGGAGATGTCTTTTTCATGAACAGTAAAATATAAATGGGAATAAATAGATGCATAAATAAGCAGTGAATGTGCCTAAGAAGAGGTTCCTTTTTGAACAAAAGAAAGGCTGCTGTCAGGAGGGGAAACATCCTAGAGACACATCTAGCATAACAAAGATTGTATTTTATTGGATTAAGGTATTAGGGCTGAGGCCCTCAGAAACAGTTGGTTGTATCTGAGAGCTTAGTTTGAAGCAAGGGGCTGTACCATTTGGAGTTTTTAATACAAGCAGTGATAACTTTATTTTAGCTCTGTTTTTGCTAACTGAAGACAGTTTGGTACTGTGGATAGAGTGTCAGACTTAGATTCAGGAGTCTTGAGTTCAAAGGCTTGCTTTTCCAGGAAAGCTCAGTGGGGATTGGGAACTGTAGATCATTCTATGAGCATGTCACCTCCTTTGAAAACCAAATTACAAGCAGCAGCCGCAATGTGCTAGTCAAAGTGTATCCTAACACTATGAAGACTGAACCCATTAGGACCATGTCATGTACGATTGGCTTGAATTCATCATGCGCAACACAGTGCCCCGTAAAAGTCTTTGCTCCAACTCTCCAGCACTTGCTCTCATTTTCCAGATTTTTATATAAGGAACAGGCTTTTGAGATCCTTTTTATTCTCCCTAGGTCCCATTACAATTGGCATGGGTTTATCTCTTCAGGGTGCCAACCTAGCAACATGGATCACATGCCAAGCCTAATTGACTGATGTTGCCAAACCCCATGATTATCCTCTTAAGAATATAAATTTACCCAGATCATCATGCTCAGAGCAAACATTATTTTCTTC